GCAATCGAGATAAGGTAAATTTTGCACTTGTTGAATACTTTTGAAATAATTTATATCGACAAGTTTTTAGGCTGTCAATTTTTTAACTATACATTATAGTTACAATGCATTCAGATGCAGCAGTGATATCCTCAACACTAACATTTTCAAGTAAAAATACATCGAGATAATTTTTTAATTTTGAAAAATTCTTATTTACAAAATTGAAAAATTTTTTTGTAATTGTAATTTTTTAATTAAAAGTACAAAAATAATTAAAAGAATTCGAAATTTTACAAGATAAATATGATTAATTGTTGTTTAAATGAATAAATAATAATATTCAATCACCTAGAAACTTATTTTAACTTTCACATTCACAAAAATAAATTTATTAGACAAAATAATATCGAAAGTAATAAAAATTTTATAAAAAGAAAAAGTATCGTTGGTTAAATTGACATATCTCGGTTGATTTTAATTGTACAAAGGCACCATTTTAAAGGTCTTGAAACCAGCTTTCATTTGAATATGGCATTACATATACCTAAATTAACTCGGAAAAAAGTTATAAGGCGAAAATCGTCAAAAAAGGGAAAAAATTGGTCAAAAATCCAAAAAGTAGCCAACTTTGATCCAATGTATCTCGGTTTCTATTAGTCGTAAGTACTTCTATAAAGGCTTATTTTAAAGAAAAAAACATTAAATTTTTTTATCTGTGAAACAATGCCTATACCTAACTCCTCTCAGAAAAAAGTTGTGGGCCAAAAACCAAAAAGAAAAAAAACGCAGTTTTTCGGTTTTTTTAACATGTTTTTGGGCATATTTTTGTTAAAAATAAATCTTTTTCAATTCAGAAGGTCTCATTTCGATTGGAAATTCAATTTGCTGCAACTTTTCTGATGACAACTATATAAAAAAAATTCATAGTTTTCGAGTAAAACTCAAAAAACTGAAAATACCACCTTTTTACTTCGTTCTTTCACCCTCTTTAAAAGGTAGCACTCCGCGGTTTTATCATTTTTTAAGGTCAATTGAACATATCAAACAATAAAATTTCTGTTACGTTGTAGTTCCTTTGTGCCCTCTTTTATTTTGACATAGTCAATAGCCTAATAGGATTAAAATAACATACTTCCATTTGCCACTTACTGTTTCCATCAGGTGTTATATTCAAAACCCGCATGTCGTCAATCTTAGTTTGATAGGTATAATCCGTACAAGCCGACCTATTATAATACAATTTGGCGGCAGTGGCCAACCTATGTAGTTCGTCACCGTAAGTCTCATTGATAAGAATACCACATAAGTCGCCCACAGAAGGTCCCCAAGCGCTGTCGTACTGCACTGTGTAGGAAAAAACTTCATAAACTGTCTCAAAGAAACTGTATATATCTGATTCAGTGTTAACCTTCCGTATATCTTGGCATAAATTAAAAAGAGCAGTGATATTCTCTACGCCTGGCTTGTCTACCAACTTTTCAAGTCGAGCGAATGCTGTCTTAACCGTGTCGACGCATTTTTGGCTGTGCAAAGCTAGAACGTCCGCAACAACTTGCATATACTCTAAAAATAGGACTGCGCTTCGATCAAATAAAAAAAAAACAATAAATTTTTAACATACCATGGAAGTCTAGCTGTGCAAACAGTGGCCCACTGGCGGACACAGCTCCTTGAACCAGATGCGGAAACTTTTGCCTCAACCAAGCTGCCAACGAACCAGCGTACGATCCTCCGAACACTATCCATTTTGCGTCTTTCGTGAGGTTGTATTCCTGATTCATACCGTTAATAAACGTCGCGGTGTCCTCCAAGGCCTGTCTGCTTGACAGGAATCGCAAGTTTTCAACGCTCAAATCCCTGCAATCCATTCCAGAAAGTTATTGAAGCTAATCCAGTCTGGGTTTTCCATAAAACATCACGATTGTTATTTACTAATAATACTTACTTAAAAGGATGGCTGACCCCGTAAAACCTGTGCTCAAGCTGGAATAAGAGAGCGGAATATTTCTTAGCAAACTCAACCCATGATCCAGCCGACATCCAACGGATAGAAGATTGCCCTTCGCCAATAATCAGCAAGAAAATAGCCTTGCTTTTCGTATCCTTAATATACTTTTCGTTGACATAATATCGCTGAAGAAAAGACACCTCCCAATTAGCGCAGATACACTTTTAACAGTTTGTGAGCATTACTAACTCACCTGCGACCAAACGTTTGTGTTAGAGGGATCAAAGTGGTCCAATCTTTGCGAAAAATAACTCGTGATCACTTCTGCTCTCAGTGGTGTACCTTCAGGAGGAGGTATGTCGTATCCTTGGAAACGACTTCTGAAGAGAAACCCAAGACAGAGCACGGGATTTATCGAAAATAATATAAACACTGTAACGAACAGGTTCATTGTGAAATGCAATCGCAGCTTCTTCAAAACGAATCTTACCGGTCAATCTTAAATGTCAAACTGTTATATCAGAACAGTTGGTAATCAAGGATGTGTCTTAATTCTAGTTGCATGGCAAAGGCGACTAGATTTTTTGCTCAGGTTTCTCCCGTTTTGTGAATTGTGACTCCCTATTCCCCAGTTCCAATAATAATATAGCCCCACAAAAAAAGCGGCAGGTTCGAAAGACAAGACCATTGGATCCATATGGTTTTGGGGTCGCTGAATCTTAATCCGGTGTCCGTTTGACGCGATTAGGTCTGGTTTAAGGTCAGTTCAGGGTCAAATGTAGAAAATCAATTGTCAACAAATTAAACCTATGTATCTTCACGTTTTTGGGATCGCCGAATCCGAATCTGATGTCCGTTTGATTTATTACGCAAGTTTTTAAAACCGTTAGGCATCCAAAGAACTTCATACCAAAATTCATTTAAATCGGACAAAGCGATTTAGGGATTTTTGATAGCTACCTCATTTTATTTCAAAGAAATACAATTTGAGTTAAATTTTGGAGTAATCTGTCAAATTATTCTAATACTTATTCAACACTAATCAACAACTTTTTTAGCAGACTTTGAATTTTCACACATACCCATAGTAAAAAAACATTTTTATTAATTTTTTTAATCTACTGAATTGTAGACATATCTATAATTTATTAATTAATGCTTAAAATTTGCTTATAATCAAGCTACTTGTAATTAATAACAAAATGTTTATTATAGACGTAGTAAAGTGACTGCTAACTCCGGAAGTTTCAACTCCCAGCCAAACTCCTATCAACCTGTCAACTTCCTCCCTGGCAGTATTAAGTTGCGGTAGGTCGTTCTCTGAGCTCGGATACATGTTTGAACAGTGAGCAGTACCTAAAATTTCAAATTAGAATACATGAGCAGTGTGATTTCAGAGTGACTGACGTAATAGTTTATCATTTTTTTAAATACTTTAACTTGCAATGTGGCAAAACAAATAAAAAATATTAAAACTAAAGGTGTAAATACAAATAGTTTCTTTAAAAGTGGAATGTTACCTACCTTCGATAAATATAACAGGTGAATCTGGATTAGTTGTATTTGTAAGGCCCATGGGACTCCAAGGGTCAAAGGACCCATGAACGAAAACCACGTTCCTCACGTCAACGTCATAACCACCGTAGTGTGTGTTTGTTTCCCCAATTTGACCACTTATGTAGCTTGAGTTGAAGTCTGTCCCATACACATCTTTGCAGATATTTGTATAGTACTCCACATGAGTTTTATTACCAAAAACTTGCTCTTGACTAGTAGATTGGTACCACCCATATTCCGTGCAAGTTTGGTAGTACCATTGCCGCACTTGAATAATAAAGCTCGTATGAATATGTAAATATGTTTTCATATATTACTCACTGTTTCCGCTGACTGTGATAGTCACATCCAACATTCCATCAACTACATTTTGGTACCTATAATCCACGCAGGACGAACCATAAAACAATTTATTCACCTCCACCAGTCTCTGCAACTCGTCACCGTAAGTCTCGTTGACCAGAATGTCGCACAAGTCGTCCACAGAAATAGGTCGACCATTGTTTTTATTGTACTGCGCTACGTAAGCGAAAACATCGCTGACAGCTTCAAACAAAGTAGAAATATCTGCCTCGGTGTTGACCTCTTCAATGTCATCACATAGATTGAACAGAGAGGTGATGTTCAATTCTCCTGGATTGTCTACTAGTTCTTCAAGTCGTATGAATGCTGTTTTCACCGTGTCCACGCATTCTTGGCTGTAGGAAGCCAGGTCTTTCGCAACCACTTGCAAGTACTCTAGAAATGAGAGTGTAAATGTTCTTTATAAACATATTTATAAAACTCATTTTATTTCTTGAAGAAATTTTATACACACCAGGGAAATCTAGTTGTGCGAACAAAGGCCCACTGGCAGACATAGCCCCTTGAACCAGATGTGGAAACTTCTGCCTTAACCAAGCTGCTAGTGACCCAGAGTAAGAGCCCCCGAATACTATCCATTTTGCGTCTTTCGTGAAGTTGTAGCCCTGATTCATACCATTAATAAACGTTGCGGTGTCCTCCAAAGCTTGTCTACTTGACAGGAACCGCAAATTTTCGACGCTCAAGTCCCTGCAAAATAGATTATTCACTCCAGAAAGTTACTGAAGCTAATCCCAGAAAGCTTGGTCCAGATAAAATCCTTTACAACTGTTTTGACTATATTGGCACTATAATTGAAAACACTTACTCAAAAGGATGACTGGCTCCATAAAATCTATGCTCTAGCTGAATCAAGGGAGCTCCATATCTCGTAGCAGTCTCAATCCATGCTCCACCCGTCATCCATTCGACGGAAGCCTCACCTTCCCCACCAATCATCAAAAAAATGACCTCGTTTTCCGTCGCATTAAAAAACTCCGCGTTGACATAATATCGCTGAGAAAAAGACACTGATGTACCTTAAGAGTTTGTAAGCATTATAATGACTCACCTGCGACCAAACGTTTGTATTAGAGGGATCGAAGTGGTCTAACCTTTGTGTAAAATATCTCGTATTCACTTCTGCTCTTGATACTGCGACTTTTGGAGGAGGTATGCTGTACCTTTGCGTATGTCTTCTTAAAAACGCTCTAGAAGACAGCACTTGACTTACCGAAAGAAATATTAAAATTGTAATATAGAGTTTCATTATGGAAGGTATTTGGAAGGGGTTTTCTAAATCAAACCTTGCTAATCAATTTTAAACGACGAACTGATTTCAAGGCAATCAATGATAAAGTAATCTTACATTGAAGGTTATCACTTCAAGTCTATCTAAAGAACCGTACATAAAAATAAGAAGTGAGCTATTAAGATTAATTCGAGATATTTGAAGGTTTAGTACAAGTCTACATTTCTTAAATGGCTAAATTCTTTTTCCATTGAATTATTTGCACGCGTAACTCTTTTATGTACATCAAAAGGTTCCTTCTGTCCTACTAAATCATTTCAATATCAATCTGGAAGAAGTAAGAAAATACCTTGTTATTTAATTCCACTTTTATTGAATTATGAACAAACATATTTGTAATTTTAATTCATTATTGCTTAAAACTACAGTTTGCTTATAAACAAACTACTTATAGTTAACAACAATGCGTTTATTATGGACGAAGTAAGGTAACTGCTAACTCCTGAAGACTCGACTCCTAACCAGACCCCTATTAATCTGTCAACTTTTTCTCTGGCTTCAATTAGTTCCTGTGGGTCGTTTGCAGAGTTGGCATACATGTTCATACAGTGAGAGGTACCTAAAACATGAAATAGAGATTATGTGCTATATTAACAAAGTTTGAATTGAGAATGTGTTGGCTGGACTATATACCTTCGATAAATATAACTGGTGACTCTGGATTGGTGGTTTCAACAATCCCCATGGGGTACCAAGGGTCGAAAGACCCATGAACGGAAACCACGTTCCTCACGTCAATATCATATCCACCAAAGTGTGTGTTCGTTTTCACAATTTGCTCGCTTATGTAGCTCGCGTTAAATTCAATTCCGTATACATCCTCGCACATTTTTGTGTAGGACTCGATGGGAAATTTCGTTCCAAAAACTTGTTCTTCTTGGCTGGATGTTTGGTACCATCCGTACTCTGTACAGGTCTGGTAAATCCATTGACGCACTTGAATAATGATCGTTGAAAAGACCAATCAAAGTAGATGTTAAAAAAGTACTTACTCATTCCACTAGTTGTGATAGTCACATCGTTCAGATAGTCCAAAGTAGTTTGATATTTGTAATCCACACAGGCCGTTCCGTAGTACAATCTGTTTACTTCAATTAGTCTGTCTAGTTCGTCGCCGTACGCGTCGTTAACTAGAATGTCGCACAAGTCGTCTATAGTCGTCGTGAGGGCGCTGTTCTTGTTGTACTGTGCGACGTAAGCGAACACATTAACAGTTGACTGAAAGAAATTAGATATGTCCAATTCAGTGTTAACTTCCAGAATATCGTCGCATAGATTAAAAAGAGCGGTGACGTTCTCTTCACCTGGGTTGTCTACCAAATCTTCAAGTCGAACATACGCTGTCTTCACGGCGTCGACGCATTCCCGACTGTGCGAAGCTAAGTCGTCCGCAACCACTTGGAAGTACTCTAAAAATGGGATGGTATAAATACGCTTCGATTTTTTATCTTAAGGTTTATGCGTACCGGGAAAATCTAGCTGTGCGAATAACGGGGCACTGGAAGACATAGCACCTTGGACCAGATGCGGGTACTTTTGCCTCAACCAGGCTACTAACGATCCAGCGTAGGATCCTCCAAATAATATCCACTTGGCGCTGTTCGTGAGGTTATATTCCTGATTCATGGCGGTGATAAAAGTCGCTGTGTCTTCCAAAGCTTGCCGGCTCGAAAGGAACCTTAAGTTTTCCGTGCTCAAATCTCTACAACATATATATTTTCTCGAAAATTGTCATCAAAACTCGACATTTTTAACATGGAATATACTGACCACAGCGTCGAAGGTTTAATTTTATTAATTTTATGTTGGAATTATGTCAATAATACCGCTTCAGAACTTTTTGAATTTTCTACATTACAATTTGAATTCGTTGTAGGTAATCTCGTACTATTTTATTATTTTTTTTTGATTAATTGTGAAACTGCATATTGTACCGCTTCCGATACTTCCCCTGGTAAATGCTCGTCTTCACTTTCCGAGCTCATTTCGAATTAAACACTCTTAGAATATGAATTACAATTACATAATACAATTCTGACGCTAAAGATGATGGTAATTTACCCGCACCGAAAATTTTACCGAAAAAAATGCAATTAATTTTTTTACCATAACTTTTATAAAGTTATAAATTTACTCAAAAAAACCATTTTGTAGGGAATTTAAGGCAATTTAAGTTCTGTGATTTGCAGTTTTTTGAACCCTTCATTTTTTAGATTTGTAAGATAAAAGGGCTAAGGAAAGAGTCTTGGAGCTTAGTTTTAAGCTTCTAACGGTCATAATAAAGTCAAATTTTGTCCTACAAAAATTTTTAAAAAAGCAAATTGTTCAGTAAGAAAAAACCTAAAATTTCTTATTCTATCATTTTTTTTATAACTTTGTTAGTTTTTGAAATATTTTGAAAAAAGGCGATTTTAGGCGAATTTAGGCTTCTAAAATCGTTCAAATTCTCAGAATCTACTGTTAATACATAAATAAAGTAAATTGTAGAAGGAATACGTTTAATTTTTTTTTCCGTCAAGTCATTAATTTAAATATCGATTCTTTTTCTCAAAAATCAAGACAATCATTTTATTTTGATTATAACTTCATTAGTTTTCATACTAACGACTTCTACCATCACTCAATTTAAAGGTCTTTTCAAGAACTTTAATAAGTGTTATATAAGTTTTCCTCGAAAAACCTTTAATTTTCCCGCTACAGGACGTTGAACGTTTCGATTATAGCTATCTTCGAAATTGACTTCAACTTCTGGGAGTCATAACTCAGGTTCTATCATCTACAAAAATAAAAAAGCAATCTCTTTGCTATTTAATTACCTTCATTTTTGCTTATGATAATTTTTTTGGTAAAACTAATAGTTTTTGAGATATTCGTGAAAAATGGCTCAGAAACATACATTTTTTGGACTAAAAACGAACATGTTTAGGCGCAAATAACTCAAAAAGTATTGACTGTACAAAAAATTCTTATAGAACATTTTTTGGTTAGAATTCGTCCCTGTATCGAATAGTGGTTATTTAAAAAATTCCCACCCTCCAGAAGGGGTGGCATCCACCCCTAGGGTAAAAGCACACATCGGCACTATATAACTTTTGTTTCTTGGGCTATTTCCGACTTCAAATACAAATTATACAAACATAACTATTTTTGGTCTAACGTAACTATTATAGATTCTAAAGGAAATTGATAGACCTTTGCTTTGGGGGTGCTCATGACAAATAAACATAAGCTCTTACTCGAAGGGGTGGCTGACCCCGTAAAACCTGTGTTCCAGCTGAATCAGGAGGGCTCCATATTTTTCAGCAGATGTAATCCACGCTCCACCTGTCATCCATCCAATAGAAGCCTGTGCCTCACCGCCAATCATCAAGAAAATAGCTTCGTTTTCAGTGGCATTGAAATATTGTGAGTTCACGTAGTATCTCTGAAGAAAATTTTGATGTTTTAGAGTGATCCAGATATTTTGGGACAAGGAAAATGAAAAGATATCTTAAAAACCAATAACAATTTCGCATAGTTTGGTAATTCCTTATTGGAACTAAATATAATGAGATCCTATTCAATAAATTTTACGATCCATTGATAATAATAGATAATACTACAATGGAGAGGATTTATTGTTAATAAAGAACAGTTGTAAAAGAATAAACAGTTAATGGGACTTTTTAAACAATATAAAATTCACTTTTCTACTTTTTCGTATGACTTCAAAACACTGTTTTAACTTTTTATAATATATAAGCGTTACTGGTTTTTAAGAGTTGTTGTCTACCTGTGACCAAACATTTGTATTGGAGGGATCGAAGTGGTCCAACCTTTGCGAAAAATAATTTGTAGTCACGTCAGCCCTTGAAACTGCAACTTTTGGTGGAGGTATGTCGTATTTCAGCAAATGTCCTCTGAAGAATGAAGAAGATCCCACGTAATTAATGTAATTAATCGAAAATAATATAAAAATTGTAACACTGAATTTCACGATAGCCATTGTCACTGCTATACTAAGCACTTAAAACAGATCGATCTTAAATGATAAAAAGATTTCGAAACGTACAATAATAAAATAATTCGGGATTATCATACCACAGACAGGTAAGATATAAAAATAATCTGTAAAGACTAATTCGTAATAGTTATACAAGGTGATTGACAATTTATTAAAAAAGGCTGGGATAGCAGCATTTATAAACAGAAAAATCTGTACAAGCGAGAGGCTGCTAATGCATTTTGCCTTGCTTCGCCATAAACTAAAACAAAATCCGCTAATTCTGCGTTACTATACCCATGGGCCAATTTGTAAGACTGATATAAATAATAATAGTGGAGTCAAGATAGCTTAAAATTACGCATTATTTCGAAATAATTATGGGAAGCATGAATTTTCCTAAAACCTTTTGAAATTACTTGGAGATAAGTATTAGAAAAAAGTTATAAACTTATTTTTTTTATGAACATATAAAATAATTCAATGAATTTTAAATCGAATTCTTTCAAATTGACAATATAGGGGTTTTCGATGTCGCTGAACAAGAATATGGAAGTTGGAAAATGAAAATTCAAAATGGCCGACTATTTTAAACAATTTATTTAACAATTAACAATGTATTTAACAATTATCGATTTTAAATCAAACTCGCTCATATTTGTAATATAGAGGTTCGAAAAGTGAAAATTATAAATGGCTAAAGAGATTTTATTGAAAATATGTTTTATTTTTAAAAAACAAATTTATTACAAAATAATTAATTTTTAAATCTCATCGAGTTCAAAAATAACTGGGCAATTAAACTTTAAGCCAATAAAATTGAAAAAAACACTGATTTTAAATATAAAATTACAAAATCAAAGTCAACGTTCCCTATTATTTATTTATTCATTAATTATTTTAAAAATGGATCAATATTCATATATAAATATTAAACTCATAATACATTTACAGCATAAAAGAAAACGAATAGAAATACCTTAAATGCAAATTGAAGATTATTTGTAATATTAAGTAAAAATATTACATTAAAGAATAATTACAAGTGTACGAGAGTATATTCTCAAAATGGACAAAATATGTGAATAATACACTTTTTAACACACTGGTAACCGCAGCTTACTCGAAAACATAAAAATCATATTCTTATACCATTTATAATAATAATTTTTTAATTCTTATAAACGAAAAACGCTTTTAAAATAAATTAAACTGTAAGTAACAAAAAAATATTTGGTGTGCTCACTGCTTAGCTTCGTCACCCAAACTCATATCTGTGTCTACATCAATAAGAAAACTTATATTCACAATTTCAGATACAGAATATATTTACGTTTTAAAAATGAATATTAAATCAATTCATCAAAAAACGTTATTTTTTGCTGTTATAACAATTTTCCACTTATTACTATAAATAAAAAAAATATTTTTCGCTGGATTTACTTTTTTTAAGGTCTTAACTTAATTCTTCGATGGTTTATTAAACAAAAAAAAAAATTTTTGTACATTATTAAACTTTATTTAACAATAAATTTCACGGATTTTTCATGAAATATTTTTATTTTTTGTTATTTTTTGTTTTTTCAACTATTATTTCAATTTTTTAAGAAAAATAAAATGCACCATCTTAAAGTAGAGATTTTAAGCTTTAAAAAGTGCTCTCATAAAGTTTCAATATCACATTTACAACTATAGTTTTTGATCTATAAAGTATGGCCTAAAAAGTCAAATTTGTGATTTTTTAAAATTATTGAATATGTTGGGCTCAATATTTTTCAAATTAAATTTTTAAGATTTTTTCCATATCGCTCACTGTTTCAATCGTCATTTGAAGAGTAATCTGTGAAAGTTACAATTTATTTTAAAAATTAAAAGAATGACAGCTATTTTATTATTATTGTACAAAATTATAGAATGACGTAACTTTGTATACGTACTATATATTTTTTTCTCAAGTTTAAGGACATAAAATTTTGATAGCTGGATGACTCTTCTTTTATTTAAATTTTTGTGAGTTGGATTTGATCAATTAGATCAAAAGTTATAACAAATTTAGTGTAGCGCGCTCTTCGAGAGCTATACTTGGGGGCCGCCCGTCTCATTTTTCGTACGTTAGAAAAATATATATACAGCCTTCAATTCGCATTTTAGAAAAAACTTTATTAACATTTTTTATGTAAAATTTCCTAATTTTTTTTAGAAAATTATATTTTTTTATATATTTTGCAAAAACTGTAATTTTGCAACTAATTTGTTAAATAAATAATTTAGCGTACACTCTACAGTCGGTAACTTTTTATATGTTGTTTCTGACCATTTTACAAAGCGAAAAATAAAAAGTTCTCTCTTTTCGCGAAGTCAAAATGTATCTTGACTCCACTATAAACCACGACGATAAGGATACTACTATTAAAACCACAGTAATACTGAATAAATAGGGATTTGTCAAGTCAAATTGACTGAAGTAACCTGAAGAGGCATTCCAGCTACATAGGTAGTTATTAAATATAGTTACTTCAAACACATTTTTCGAAAACTAAATATTTTACTAATACTCTTTGATGATATCGATCCTATTTTTGATGGCATGTCGCTCTGTATGGAATGTCACGGGAAGAACAGTTTCATAATTACTACACTACACTAAAATTAGTAACATTTTACTCAAAGTAACGAACGTTCAAAAAAAAACGTGGTCGAAGTTGGCTCTGACACATTGGACGTAGGGCGTAGCTTATAGCGACCAACTTAACCTCATTTCTCAACGAGCTGTATAGCAGCCGTCAGTTTNTAATACTGAATAAATAGGGATTTGTCAAGTCAAATTGACTGAAGTAACCTGAAGAGGCATTCCAGCTACATAGGTAGTTATTAAATATAGTTACTTCAAACACATTTTTCGAAAACTAAATATTTTACTAATACTCTTTTTGGTGATATCGATCCTATTTTTGATGACATGTCGCTCTGTATGGAATGTCACGGGAAGAACAGTTTAATAATTACTACACTACACTAAAATTAGTAACATTTTACTCAAAGTAACGAGCGTTCAAAAAAAAAACGTGGTCGAAGTTGGCTCTGACACATTGGACGTAGGGCGTAGCTTATAGCGACCAACTTAACCTCATTTCTCAACGAGCTTTATAGCAGCTGTCAGTTTCAATAACGTTAATGACTATATAACTTTATTTTAA